TATGTGCCGAGACATTTCACAGAAAATTCTAAAATGAGCAAAGTTTTTTCCTGGCACCATTGGGTTAAAATTACAAAAATATTAGTAACAAACAATATGTCATTCATTATTGGTCCAACTTTCTTTCTTAAACTTAATACGGACTTTTAACTTTATATAACTTTACTATAATTAAAGATATCTTAAATTGCCCAATTTACCATCATCAACATACCTGTGAACTCCTGTCTCTACTAAATCGAGCTTGATGTTGTCCAGGTCATACACTGATTTTACAACTTCTACCAACCAGTTTTCTGGTGCATGATAATTCAGAGTCAAAATGGATGATTCTGGCAAACCAGTAAATCGGGCATAGGGTCCAGCAGTCATGTCGCCTGCATCTGTGAACTGTGGCTCAGGTTCCAGTACATAACGGTAAAATCTGAAAGTAGGAGAAAAGCCACACTTACTACAGTATACTGCACTTCACTGTACTTTCATACTACAAAAATTTGTGAATATTTTGTTATTATTATTGTTCAGTATAACCTGTACATTTCACATTGTCAGTGTGATAAAACTCCTTGATACTGAAAATTGTTTAGTGAGGCCTGACAAAGTGGAAACATGGGAACATTATTCCCTGGAAATTTTCGTCATGATTTTTGGTTGCAGGAAATGTAACTAAATGATGGTATGAAGAAAAAAGAATGCTTTGTAAGTTTTGATAACAAATCAGGTTAAAATAACTTATGTATGGGTTTCTCTTACCATGAATTTTTGAGAGTGCACAAAATGTACTTTTTTTAATGAAATATATTAATCATCTTTTATTCTCTTTACTGCAAAGGGAAATCTGAAATTGAAAAGGCTCTGTACCATTAAACCATAGAGTAAAATTACCTCCGAAGTGGCATTTCTGAATGCTTCTCCCTTGCATTCAGGACAACACGAATTTCAGCATTCACAATTTCCTGGAGTACCATCAGGATTGGACCAATCTTCTGTGCAGCACTTGACACTGGATCACATATCGCAACAATATCAAACACGGGCATGTTAGGGTTTCTTGCAGGAATTTTAACAACAGAATATTGATCAGAGCGAAGGTTGACAGTTGTGCGGCCCTTGGACTGAGGCTTGGTCTGGAGCACACCAGCCACCTTCATTGTCAAGTCGCTGATATCACCATTCGCAGGCGGATCTATCAAAATAAATACATATATAATTAGTAATACAACACTCTTAAAATAATTTACTCCCATGTAAGAAGACCTGTCCCCTAACATTACACAAGTGTGTATAAAAAACTAGTATTTTCCAAGTTCTATTTCATGATCCTATTTGGCAAAGAAATTTTCATAATATACTGCCAGACTTATAAAGTCATTTTGCTATTATTAGTGGAAATTCACAAAACTTTAAACTTTTGTTTTGGCTGTCTTTGAAGATAAAAAAGTTTTCTAATGAGAAACTCTCAGTCTTGCCTCACCTTCACCAACCAACACTTCTGTAAGCTTCTCTCCAAACGTGGAATGAACATATTTCTCTAGAAGGCCAAAATCTTCCATAACAAACTTTTCTGTTGCCTTGAATGTTCCTAGATGTCTACCATTGGCAACAACAGTCCTTTGTCCAGGTGAAAGAGCCAATACCTGTAATAGTTAAAGAAATGTTTTTTACATCCTTGATAATTAAAATTGACTGGCCATGTGACACTATTCCATCCCTTGAATCAATAATGAATATATTTAAAGAAATAAAATATATACAAGAGGGAAACATCTTAGATTTAAATAACACAAATAAAAAATAAAACATATACATAGCAAAGGGAACATAAAACTGGTTGTACTAACCTTTTTGCAAAATACCGAGTGAGCCTTAAATACTGAATCCTTGAATGAATCCATGCGTGATGTGAAGGCATCTATATCTAAACCCTGCAAAAGTGAAAATGAAATATCTTATACATGACACAGAATACAAAACAAAACTCAGATAGGGTAATACTTCCTGAATTTTACTTTTCTTTTCATGTGTTTAGTCTTCTAGGCGCATATTAACATGAATCATCAAAGCAAAATGATTATCACTATTTCCCATTCAGATGGGGGACATTGTAATCTATCATAACATTCTTGAGTCATAATACAATACATCTTAACCCTTATTCACTGGACCAAAGTGGATACAAAATCTTTCAGCTAATCAATATCAAACAATGAGATATGCATGCTAATACTGCATGTAGCATGATTTATTTCTATGGTTTCTTAACCAAGGCAAAACAGCATCAATGACTTTAAAGGATCTGGTTTACATATCTTTTGATGCAGAACCTCACTGCAATATTATTTTAGGTAATTCTTACAGAATAAATGCTCACTTAACTTTCATAAAAGAAAAATATTTAACTTTAAACAAATCTAGAATACCATACACTCATCATTTACTTGTTCATGAATGTATGTATTTACATATGCTGATAAAAATACATCAGAATGTTCATACAAAAAAGTCTGAAGATCACTTACAGCAATTTCAAAGTCTTTCCACTTCTTTGTTCCAGCAATGATCTTCTTGGCATTATCTTTCTCAAGAACCTTTGCCAAGAACTGCCTTGCAACAGCTGGAGGCATAGTCGTTTGAGCTACTTCTACTGCTCGGCTAAATAATTTAGGACTTTCACTAGAGAGATCTGCATTGTGTATTGCACAAATACGGATGCTGTTGCTCTCCCGCTGAAACAAAAAAGGTTATATCAATATTATAACTGATCACAAACAGATTTTTTCCTCATCTCCTTTCATTTTTGACCGTTTGAAAATAGTATTCACTGAGGAAAATAATGGAGTACCTAACTTCTACGTAAAAGACAAAGAGATATATGTATACATACCAAGTACTTTACACCTTCTAGAAGTATTGCTCGACCCTCATATGTGTCAAAATCTCCGACAATCCACACAGTCAAAGGTCGCAAGGTGTGGTCATTCTTTGTGGTGATGTATCGGCAAGAGTTGGCCAGAGTAGCTGTCATCTCTGGTGCTTTCTGTGTTGCAAAAGACTCTACAGACACACTGTTAAGTGTCTCTCCAGATGAACCAGTCAGGTCAATGAATTTAGAGTTCTTTGTACTTAGGATTCTTTCATTCAGCCTGAAATATAAAACAGTATGTTAACCAGTTGTCAGCTATAACAAAACCACTCACAATTAACCTCTAAGATCCAGATAATGTGACCATCATGTCATGAAAAAATTTGGCTTGTGGGGCAGGTGACGTAAACATGCCATCATGGGAAATCTGGCTGTGGCCCAGGGAGATGCTTGCCATCGTGAGCATTTGGGCTGAAGGCCAGATTGACAGGAAAGACTTGCAATGAGTGCACAAATCTCTTGGAAGGTGATTAGACTTATATATTTCATGCTCAGCATCCTATTCTTGGCCACCGTGACTGGTGGTGAAGGTTGTATAACAGAAAATTGAATATTGTTATCATTCTTGCACTAGTTATGACCACTTTGGGAGATAATATGGAATCTGGCAAAAAAGCTAAACACACTTATACATAAAAAGAGACAATAATATCACAAAGGAGAGGCCTAGAGTGCACCCAGCCTAAAAGCCACGCACCATCAAAGCAGCCACTCACGTAAGCCTAATGCCTGTATTATGGGCCATGTGATTACCTTGAAGCTAGATCCAATAGGTTAACAGTTAAAATAATATACAGACCAACTTAAGTGATGCTGTACTCACCTTGGCATGATGTTTGGCAGGCTCATCAGCCAGTCCACAACATCGTGTTTATCTTCCAGTTGTCCTTTATAAACTGCTCGCTGCAAAGTCTGTGTTGTCCTCATAACATCCATCAATACAACTTCTTCAAATTCATCTGCATTCAAATGTTTCTCAGGTAGAGGAACACCATTCATCAAAGCCTGATAATACAAAGAATATTTTGACAATGTGTCATACTTACTCAGCTCACTCTCTTTCATAAGCAATATTCCTTGTGTAGAGATATATGTACAACAGAATGAAAGATTTGTTATCATAAAAAGGTCTTTTATTTATAATTCAAATTAACTGAGCGTAATCTTTAAGTCAAAATCATCTACATTATTTCAGATTTTGTAAAAATTGTAAAACACTACCTGAGGCAGACTTGTGATACCAGCTTTCTCAACAAACTCTTGAGCTAGCATACGGCCAACATCATAATCTGAATCCTCTCCAAATACATCCTCAAGATCGACACTTCGGTATTTGCTCTTGAAATGGGATGTTACATCATCTACCGTTATGTCACCTTGGACATTGGAGTACACCTGTCAAATATAAATAATGTGTGAGTATCAATAAAATGAAAACATTTGAACACCTAATAATGCAAACACAATCTAAAAATATCAAAACCAATATGAATGCTAAAAGTCCTTACATCAACCAAGAACTGAAGTGCTTTGTAGTTTGCATCCTCACGGCCTTCCAAGTTTTGAGCCACATAATTGAAGGCACACAGCATGGCCACTCCAGCATCATCATAACCCCTTAGAGTTTGGTCAGGGTTAACAGACATCACTATACCAATGCGGACAGGAGCATTGTGGGTTAGGAAACCTTCAACCAGCCTTATAAGGTCAGCTGTTGATGCCTTCTCTGGTTCCGCAACAATAACCTGCAAGAGTTTGATTGTATCTTAGAATGCCTCATTATCATTACTGCTAATTAACAAATATCAACATCTTATAAAAAAGCTGCATAGCTGTATTATAAATAAATACGTTTACTTACCAAGTTATGGAAATTCTTCCTGATACTGCGTAACATGCCAGGATATGTTGGCCTCAACAGTTCTCCAACTGATGATGACCACTTGCTATAAGCTCTGTCATTCTCAATGTCATTCATCCAAACAATAGCAGTATCACGGATGTCAATACCGTAATCTTGCTTACTTTCACTGAGATCAATGTTCAACAGTGTACTAAGTGAATCTCCTGGAACACCTGTTGAAAACAAACATTTCATTAAAGAAAAACATTAAAACAGTGGAAAACTTGCGAAATCAGCTACTATTCAGTGCATAAGATATATTGTAAAATCCCTATAATTCCTTGTATCCAATTTTTTTAGACATGCATCCTTTACTTCAAAGGATCCAACTTCATTGCTTATTAATGTATAATAAAAATCCAGGATAAAAAGAAACATGAATGAAAAGTCAAGGAGGCCATGAGAAGGATAAACATCTTGATAATATATAAAGCAGAAGAAAGACCCATTAAACTATAATGAAAAAAAAATGAAAAAGTGAAAAATATAAATTATCAAAATACAAATAGAGAGCAGAAGTAGCACAAAGCAAACTTACCCAATTTATAAAGACCTCCCATAACCCGGTCTTCTGTGCGGATGTGGTCAAGAAGTGTGTAGATATCGGTGAAATCCATATCGAAATACATCCCATTAATAAAGAGAGCAGCATCAGAGGGGTTGACATCCATCTGTGCACTCAGCTGATTCTGGTTCTTCAAGATCTCTCTTTTCATCTTGTCATCAACCTGAGATGAGGTAAGGGGAATAATGTGAATACTTGCATTCTCTCCCACTTAAACAATTAAAATACCATTACTGACACAGATAGACACAGACTATCTCTCTCTCTTTCACACACTAACACACATACACACAGACTATCTCTCTCTCTTTCACACACTAACACACATACACACATTATACACACACACACACACATACACACATTATACACACACACACACATTATACACACACACACACACATTATACACACACACACACACATTATACATACACACACACACACACACACACACACACACACACACACACACACACACACACACACACACACACACACACACACACACACACACATATACATGCATATACATACACACATACATACATGCATATACATACATACATACATACATACATACATACATACATACATATATATATATATATATATATATATATATATATATATATATATATATATACATATGTATAATATATACATATGTATAATATATACATATGTATAATATATACATATGTATAACATATACATATGTACATAATATATACATATATACATAATATATACATATATACATAATATATACATATATTATATATATACATAATATATACATACATTATATATATACGTATATATATACATATATATATATATATATGTATATATACACATGCATATACAAGTATATATACATATATATTCATATATATACACATATATATTCATATACATACTTATATATACATATACGTATACATATAACGCGCACACACGCATGCACGCACACACACACATAAACAGAGATATATAGTGGTACCTTGTGTCTTCCTTTTCTCCTAAATCTTAACCCAATCACAACAGATTTATGTTCTGTCCTCTGAATATTTTGTTGAATTTTGTTACATACAGATGGTTACACAAGTCTCAGCTGGCAAGGAGTCTATCAGAAGGACCAGGTGACCAATCCTGATTTCCTCATTCCTTGAATTGGCGGGAAAATGTGTTTTTCTTTTTAATAGAACTGGTATCGATACTGATATTACTGTGATTGATGTTATGATTATTAACCCAATAATGATGGGCATGATGTGTACATACGTGCCATACCCACTGTGAGTTACTTGTTTGTTTGTTTTTACACATAGATGGCTACACTTGTACTAAGTCACCAATGATCCAATTATGAGTACCTCTTGTCTCACCCATTTACCCTTCTCTTTGGTTTACAAAATATTTTACGATATCTTATCTTTCTGTTACTAATGTTTATAAAATTATTGTAATTATATTGTTTATAATAAAAATAACACCATCGATATTCATAGCCCTAGTAAAAAATACATTTTTCCCCCCAATTCAAATCAGGTAAGGTCATAAGGTCTAGTAATTGATTCCTTTCTGACTAACCATTTTTTCCCCAGGCGCCATTGGGTTAAATTCTTATTAAAATCTTGGTAACATTTAAGACAATGAAATAATACAAAAGTCAGGGAAAAGGGTAAACAGGTAAGATAGGTAGGACTAATAACTGACTCTTTGGTGATTAACCACTTGTAGAGCCATCTATTTGTAAACACAATAAATAAACTTATATTATAGTGGGCATGGCAGGTATTCTTGCCATCCATGCCTATTGGATGAACTCTTTTGCTATGAAATACACATACCTTTGTTCTCACTAAAGACCGTGCCAGCATAGGGAAATTCTGAGCCGTGTGCACAAAGACGCTCAACTGCTCTCCCTTCGGTGTTGTCATAATACGCTGAGCAGCTTGCATACTCAGATGTTGCAGCTGCCAAACCTTCATGGGTGCCATTTCATGCCGGGACTCCACCAGGTGATTGCGAAGCTGTTCTAGTTCATCCATTTTCTCTGGGTGCAGTGACCTTAGGTAAGAGCAGATTTGAGGTAAGAAAGTAGACATGTGTGTCAAGAGCTGAATTTGTTCTTAACAGTTTTCTTTAATGGAAAATATTAACAGCTTTGGAGTGACTTTATGCTTCTGAAAAGTAAATAGAAATGACAAGAAAAACATTTAAACAAAATTAGCAATTTTACAGTTACAGTTACAGTGAGTAAATGAAAATATATTACACAATAAACAATTAAATTTGGTCAGCAAACAAGCCTTACAAAAAATAAAACACTGTTCATAAATGTCCCTTCCCCAAACTTCCAAAACTCACTCTAGCTTTGAGAAGAGGAAACCCTCAACCTCCACCTCCTGTTCATCATCTTCCTCCTGCCGGCCTCCGTCATCTTGCACTTTGGTGTCATCTTGTGCTTTGTATTCAGTGCTCTTGATGGCAAGCTCCACACCATATCCACTTAATCGAACCTTCTTTTTGGTACTTTCCTAAAAAGTTAAGGCCTTTTTAGTAAAATATGGGAAGCTTAACATTGTATTTTTCTCAGTATTTCCTATCAGACTTCATTTTTCAAAGGCAATTGAGAGAGAGAGAGAGAGAGAGAGAGAGAGAGAGAGAGAGAGAGAGAGAGAGAGAGAGAGAGAGAGAGAGAGAGGGAGAGAGGGGGAGGGGGAGGGGGAGGGGGAGAGGGAGAGGGGGAGAGGGAGAGAGGGAGGGAGGGAGGGAGGGAGAGAGAGAGAGAGGGCGAGAGGGAGAGAGGGAGAGAGGGAGAGAGGGAGAGAGGGGGAGAGAGGGGGAGAGAGGGGGAGAGAGGGGGAGAGGGAGAATAATAATTAGAATAATAATAATTAGAATAATTTAGTTTGATTCCATTTGTTACAATGGATATTCTTGGTGTGACATACTGTGTTTTATTTTGCTTCTAAATTATCCCCTGTGTGCATGGAATGGCCGGGGTTACCATCCACTGGTGGCGAGGGATTCGAACGCAGGTCAGCAAGATTGCTAGACGAGATCGCTACCGCTGCACCACACAGCACACGAGAGGGAGGGGGAGAGAGGGGGAGAGGGAGAGGGGGAGAGAGGGGGAGAGGGAGAGGGGGAGGGAGGGGGAGAGGGAGAGGGGGAGAGGGAGAGGGGGAGGGAGGGGGAGGGAGGGGGAGAGGGGGAGGGAGGGGGAGAGGGGGAGGGAGGGGGAGAGGGGGAGAGGGAGAGGGAGGGGGAGAGGGAGAGGGGGAGAGGGAGAGGGGGAGAGGGAGAGAGAGGGAGAGAGAGGGAGAGAGAGGGAGAGAGAGGGAGAGAGAGGGAGAGAGAGGGAGGGAGAGAGAGAGAGAGAGAGAGAGAGAGAGAGAGAGAGAGAGAGAGAGAGAGAGAGAGAGAGAGAGAGAGAGAGAGAGAGAGAGAGGGGCAGAGAGACAAAGAGAGAGAGAGAGAGAGAGAGAATGTCACATTAAAAATGCACCAGAATGCTTTATCATTATCAATGTAATTATTTTTTACTGTTATTTATTTCTTCTTATCACTAGCAGGTTCCTGTGGTCTATATGACAAGGGGGGGGGGGATATTATTTTAATATACATATTATGTGGGGCTGCGGACTTGAAGTTATGCTTGAAATATATAAAGAGTGTATTTCATGTGGTCTAGCAGGAAAAGAACGGGTCATTCCATACCAAATCATCAGAAATTTTAGAAAATTTTAACCCTACCCCTCAGAATAGCCTCAAATTTGGTTTACTGATAAAGATCTATGAGTTAGAGAAGAATGTCGAAAATTTTTGAGAAATTCCATCTAGTTTGGATTTTATGGACCATTTCATTTTTTGAAAATACCCCCCAAAAAGCTTAGGGCTAGTGATGACATCTTTGATGCATAAGTTAAAGTTATTTTAAACCTCACTGGAAAGAGATACATGGAGGAAAACAAGCACTCTAGTATTTTCAGGCATGTAGAATTCAAAAATAACACTTAGAAAGTCATATCTAGCACCAGGACAATGCTACCTTACAATAAACTGATGTAGGTTTCTGGCAAAATATTTTGGTGGTGGTCAAAAATTGATTTTTTTTCCCCAAGAGGCATACCTTTTACAAACTTTTTTATTATGTTTCCAAAATCTACATAGAACAATCATGTAGTAGACCAAAAGGTAGCTTGGGGTCTTAACTCCTTCCTACTCAAATTGGGTTGGAAAATCTGACCATTTTTCGAATTCGTAACCTTCTGTGTAATGGTTTCTATAACACTACCCATCCTTGCAGAGTACATGTATCATTGGAATTTAGCTTGAAATCACAAATATTGGCTTTTATCATATTATATAGCAAATTTCTTCAAAGTTTTATTAATTGTTTGAAAAATTATGTTTGGTAAAAAACGTCACTGAGCATGCTCCAGTAGATTATTCCCACAAGTGGTGCAAAGGATGCTTTGGTACATACTAGCAATCAAATGAAAATCAGTTGTCTGTAGGACCTGAAGTTATCACAAAACTTCTAGAAGACATCAACAATAAGGTAAGCAACTCATTTCCCTTTTGTCTTTGATAA